ATCTCGCGCACTCTCATGTTAAGGGAAAAAAAAAAGACTCCCAACTTTCCTAAACTCCTACCCTGATATAATAACAACCCGCAAACTACCTGTTCGGATGCCTCGCCGAGTGACAAGCATTACTAACCCACACAATCATCCAAACAGTCCTCTGACCCGGGATATTAGTCCATGCGGGTGATGAGAAGCTTAAAGTATTGGCATGGGGGCGTATCGGTTGGTAGCGAATCTCATCTTAGGAGTTAACCACTACGAGTGTGGGAGCTTTCTACCCGTACGATGCCGGGACTCGTATTGCGCTTGCTTTTTTGCACCGGGGGAGCGAACGCCACTCCCTGAGATATCGTGGCGCTCCGATACTACAAGTACGAGTACAATACCGCACTTTCGTGTAACTTGAGCAACCTACATGAACGGATCAAAGGCTTTCTTTCCATCACGCTCAATTTCAGCGCGGGGTTTGGGTGTACTCAAGCGGTGTGTTCCGGTATCCCGAGAATTGGCGAGTCTTTGCAGTCTGGCTGATTGGAATTAGTTTGTGGTGCCCTCGAAGCGCTAGAATCCCGGACGCTGGAACTGGCCGTAGGATAGGTATCTTTTGGCCTTTGGCCGGATGTGGATTAGGTTAACTGGACATAAAAGGACGGGGAAATGGGAGTCACTGAGCGGTGGAGAGGGTATTTGGATCGTTTCCCCTGATATCTCTGGAGGTCTGCGGAATTTGAATTCTCCGTGCCCCGCGGTCATGCGTCTGCTCGGCCTTCGGCATGCTTTGGCAGAATCTCTTGCTGGGCCGTTGGCCATTCCTTCAAGGCTAGACGCTCCTCCACGGAGAAAGCTGTCCAACGGGTGATAGTCTACGTTTCCTTTTCACGTTGCGGTATAGTTTACAGCTGGTCCTATAAGGCGGAAATGTTTCCCTTTCGAGGTTCATGGAGCCGCTAGGGCTTTCGGGTATCATGGCACAGTAGTTCACCTTTGGGCTTAAGAAGAGGCCTTGTGAACCGCGGGGTTTCAACTCGGGACGTCCCCCTGCGATCCTTCTCGAAGGAGCTTTTACTGTCTATGCGTTTGGGGTTGTGCAACAAGTACTCGTAGACTAATACTGCATCGGAGGGACGAGATGCCGATGCATCTCCGTTACCGTGTCGACACATGACATTGACTAAATGGTAGAGCTTGAGATGGGCTCTTGCGGCTACAGCTAGTCTACCAGTAAGCAGTAAGTTTATCAGTTGGTCTGGAGAGTTGGATCTTGTTTTGGTAAGCCATAGACTGGATGTGAGGGTGCGGGTTCAAATCGTAATTTCTCCCAAGAGGTCTCTAGTAGTCAAATTACCGTAATCATGGCACTTAATGGGACGTGCCATGATGTCGTAATTACGCAACACTAGAGTTCTATGCGATTAGAAATCCCGCCTAGTACTCGTATGGCACTGTACGGAACTCCCATGATACTCGTACCGGTATGCTTGTGGGAATCTGGGATAACCTGTCGAGACGCTTATCAATCGATATCTGCTCGAGTACAGTATTTGAAGGTTCCATGCTCCCTTTCCCAGAGCTGCTTTACTGGGATAATATACAGTACTCAACCACCCACCACCACATTCAACCATCTAACATCCAAACAGCACATACACGGACGTCAATACCCAATTAAAAAGATAAAATGTCCGCAGACCCAGACCTCCCCCTCGTAGTCCTGACCGGCGCCTCCGGCTTCCTCGGGAGCCAAGCGGTGGACTACCTCCTGAAGCAAAACTACCGCATCCTCGCCCCCGTACGCTCTCTCTCCCGCATCTCGTACCAGAAGGCGCGCTACGCAAACACCCCCTACGCCGCACGCATTCAA